CACTGTGAAACACGCAAAGTTGGCGATGGAGCCAGTGCCTTCACCACCCGAGGATGGTGAACGCCTCCCCTTCCCCTCACAGCCTGGGGATGGTGATCGAACCCCCCCTTCCCCCCCTCACTATCCGAGGAGAAAAATGGGGTTCCAGACGACTGGAAAAATGTCGGTGTCCGGATTTTTAATACAATTTTTTTCCATAGTATATTTTCAGTTGCTTGTTTGTTATTGTTTTGATTGTGTTTAGGCATGCATGAACGAGACCACAATTGTATGTTGTCCTGTTAATGTATAATAAAAACAATCACTGTAACAATAAATTCCATTTTTTCAACCATTATGGTTCATTCGAGTCAATAAAATTAATTGACAAACAAATACTTAAAAAAACGACTTAAGAAGTTACTTTTAACTGTACATTTCTTTTGTCTGTATTACCGCAGTTTTGGAAGACCAAAAAAGTTATTCTGCGCTCTAAAATTGGAGTGTTATGAACGGGAAATTACATGTTGGCGTGATACAAGTCGAGCCTTTCATCTTATGATGACAGAATACTTCAAAGCAAGTCCAGGGTACGGTAGAGATGGTTGGCCGTCGGGGTCAAGGCACCCCAAGTAAACAAGTTTTGGGGCAACGTTAAAATAACGTAGAAGTGACGTTATCAACGTTGATTCAATGTCTTATCAACGTTTTTGGCCCAATGGGATACGAACCGTACATGAACTGTTATGTTTTAACTCGTATAATTTGGTACTTCAATGCTATCAAGGTAGAACAACATTTTTTTCGTTGTTGCAAACGGGTATTAAGGTAGCAGTAGTAAAAAGTGCTTCTTGGTTACGTTGGCTGGGCCTCACGGTTCGTACGAAGGTACGAACCGTGATTCAGGTTCTTACCTTCGAACCGATAGATTCAGCTACTCGGAACAAGTTCCAAGTAGCATGGGCTATGGTGACCCCGTAGTGGACTTACCTGGCACGTCGTACGAAGGTGCGCTGCTCACTTTAATTCTTCCTTGTACCTCACTCTCTACAATCCCCACTTGCCACCTCGCCAACACGGTCTCCTTCAAGCTACTGTAAGTCAGTCCAGCCCGTCCTCCAAACAAAGACCCAAAAGTGATTCCATGCACCCGCCAAACCCCTGTTTATGAATAAAGAGCGGTTTACACACGACTCACAACTGTTGACGTTTGAACATTTCCGGAACAAGTGCTTCACTGACGAATTTTGTTCGAACCACAACGCTATAAATGCTTCACCCACGTACTACAAAAACAAATAATCGCCAACAGAACCTAAATAACTAACCTAACCTAATCTATGGCAATATATGTACAATATGCTACTATATTATAATATTAATATATATTTGAGAAAATTCCCGTCTTGAATGAACAGCATGTCAAAATTTATGAATGCGTCTGTGGGGTCGACCGCTGGATGTAATGGACTTGAGTGGAGGACGGGTTGGTCAGTCATACCTTCCTCACGCTGATCCGAACGAAAATTGCCATATTTCAACCTAATGGACCTCATCCACTCAAACCCTCCCACCCTAAGTACGTGGTTCACTTGAAGCTGAGCTGAGCTACCACACTTGAACCTTGAAATAACTTATTCTTCTCGAACACATCAGAATCTCCCTCACGTCGTCCGCACCTCTATGGTACCGCACAAACTTTAATTAGTTCTCTACCGCACTCCACTTACACAAGACGGCACCACACTGACGCCAACTCACACTGTACCATACTCCAACACCGCATGACGGTACGCCACGCACGCCACCTTACGCATTACTTCCCCAGTTCATGTCTGCTTTTGATGGTGGTCCAATTCAGCTCCCCTCCCAGATGCACATAATTCAGAGCTGTGGTTTAATGTGGACATAAGCTCCAGTTTGTGATAATCTTATCTATACATTTCCAAGGTGGGTAATATAAAGTAGATTGTAGAGTGTTCTGCTTCTTAAGTGGATTAGCTGGGTTGGTGTTGGCAGGGGAGGAGGGATAGAGAGACGCAGATAGCATGATAGAGAGAGGGGGAAAGAGGTTAGAGAAGGATAAGAAGGAAAGACGTAAAATGAAGGAAAGGAAGGAGGGAGGGAGGGATAAAGAGACAAGGAGAGACAAATATGTTATGAGTGATAGAGGGAAATATGAGAATAGGAGAAAGAGGGAAGGGGAGGAAAGGAATAAACCTTGTTCATCATGGGCTGTGTGTCTACGTTGTCTACACCTCTATTCTGCCTCTTTTTACATTCCTCTCCCTGTCAATTTCTTCTTCTTCCCTCCTGCCAATTCCCTCTTTTGTTCATTTCTTCTTCCTGTCTAGTTCTTCCTCTCCAATATCCACGTCTTCCTCTCATCCCTTCCCCCATTACGTGGCATCCATGCGCCACATGAGGCAACATTACAACATGAGAAACGCCGTCCCAGGATATTGCACCATTATAAGGCACGCATGTGCAGGATATGGCAACATTATGTGACAGGGAGGGTGAGGGAGTCTCAAGGCGGTAATGATCATAATAGGGGCAAAAAAAGTAAGAGAACAAAATTGGGACATGGCTGTTCCATGAATGCAATTAATTTAGATTAAAAACTTCCCAAGGGTGCCAATATATCCAGCAGGATAACGTCCCAATATATCCAGCAAGCATCAGGATATATGCCTGCTGAAGTATATCTACCCGAGAGTGCTGCCTACTGGAGTATAACTGGCCCTGAGTCCTGTATGCTGAAGTATAACTGCAATAGAGGTTACTTGGCGAATTACTTTTGTGATATTTCTATCGTTTAGCATCGTTTTGTGACATTTCTATCGTTTAGGCCTAGTCGACGACCGGGCCGCGGGGACGCTAAGCCCCGGAAGCACCTCAAGGTAACCTCAAGGTAGTAGCCCAATAACACCTCTCTTTATTTCTAATGTTTATTTAAATACTCTTTCGGCGAATGGATCGCTGTAGCTTCAAAGGAATTTGAAATATTTTAGAGTTTTCAATAATTAAGTGTTTGCAATATTTAAAAGCGTTCTCAAGACATTGCAAATTTGATATATAATAGAATTTGTGTTGTATTACTGCATATCTATATGTTATTGACAGCCTTATCAGTTAATATTATCATCTGAGCCTTGTTTATATAAAAGTAAAGTTTATGAATTTATTTGTGCTCTGTATAATGAATTTATACAGAGCACAAAAAACATGAGAATTCAAGTAAAATCAGACAGAAAACGCAAAATACTTTCTTGTGGTATGTATACATAGGAACTATGATACGAGGAGAGGTCAGTGCAGGGCTTGATAAAAGAACATGTCAGGACAAGCCTTTGATAGGAGGACAGGTTAGACCAAGACTTGATATGAGAACAAGTCTGAACAAGACTTGATATGAGGGTAGGTAAGAGCAGGTCTTTATTGAAGGTCAGGACAAGCCGTGATATAACAGAGCAAGCCAATATAACAAGGCTATCAAGGTCAGTCCGCCCCGCACGAAAAACAATAATGTTCCAGAAATATTATAAAGGCAAGTCTCTTGAGTATATCATCCGACCAGCGGACGGTTTGTGCACAGAACCCAAACGGTTCACAAATATTTAACAACGTGGAATTAAAGAAAACGTAAAAGCTGAGATACTCGATTAAAAATATATATGTAAACACACACACACACACACACACACACACACACACACACACACACACACACACATATAAATATATATTTATTTGTATGGATATATTTATATACACAAATATATTCATTCATAATATGCAAAAGACCACAACAATGAAGAAAATATATTAAAGCGCTTGTGAATATATAAATAAAACCTGTAAGTGTCTGAATCAATTTGCTGAGCATCAGAAAAAAAAACCCTAGACCACATGGCGAAAAACAAAAGCAAAAAACCCACTTATCTGTTCTGTATGGATTACACCAAGGCACTTTGATGTCTACGCAAGTAAATAAAGATTTCAGAACTTCCATTATATTATACAAGACGTGACAGTCACATAACAACTCAGGCGCCATTCTGTAGTGCAGTTTGCATTGTCCAGTGAATTGCATTCATACATTTCAATGAGAGAAAACAGCAAGAGGTGGACGATTATTAGAGAAGAACACATGAGGTCAAAATTAGAGTTGCCACATATTTTCTCTAATAAGAGTGGTTGATAAACTATTTTAATTTCTCATTAACGTCCTCGACCCTTCATAACAACCTGAGTTATGGCGGAGAAAATGTGGCATTAATGTTGACCGCTGCAGGTAACAACAGGGGAGGTTGGGGGGAGTTACGGGAGCGAAGGGAGTGTGGGGGTACCAGGGATGGGACGGAGTGAGGGGACAGCGAAAGGGGGCAAGGAGAAGGGGCAACATTTGGGAAGGGGAGACGGGTAATATGCTTCGTAGCACCACCACTATCCCCCTCCTCTCTCCCTGTCCACGACCCCTCACCGCCTCCCGTCCTAACCCTCCGGTATCTGTAGCCGGTTACTGTCCAGGGTGAGGTAAACGTTGTCATAAATCATAGATTAACCGTGCTGTATCCCGCTGTATCCCGCCATACAAGGGATACTTAGCACACCACCTCTTCTCCCTTTCCTTAACTCTCCTCTATCCTTCCGTTTCCTTCATGCTTTCTATCTACCCTCCCCCTCTCTCCAGCGGAGTCAAGAACCCAGGAATTGGCGATTTCAAGAATCCCAGTGACTTTTATTAGACAGGGGAAGGTTAATTTTTATACTGTGGTCGGAAAGATGACGATGGTCCTGAGAGAGAGAGAGAGAGAGAGAGAGAGAGAGAGAGAGAGAGAGAGAGAGAGAGAGAGAGAGAGAATAGCACACACACATACAATATGGCCATGTTAGGACCTGAGAAACTTGTGATTGCCTGCTAACTATACCTACCATTACTTGTGGAGTGTCTAGATCACTGGGATAACCACCATCATGTTGTAAACACAGATTATTCTCCCAGGCTGCGTCTCGTGGCCGGAGTCCTGTGTACAGCCTGGTGGACCTGCTGGCTGTGTGGCTGGACACACCCCAGGCATCCTGTGGAGGTCCTGTGGAGGTCCTGTGGAGGTCCTGTGGAGGGAGCCACTGTCTGCCATATTCTTCGTCTGTCCTACAGTTGCAGGTATTGGAATGGAATTAATTTCTTGCCTGGAATTTCGTTGTCACATTGGATTACTTTTCTCGTGATTATTTTTCTGTCTTATTTTTTGGATTACTTCCTCATGCAAACTTTTCCTTTATACACTGGAATAATTTCCACCGCGGGAGATAACTTTTGTTTATCATTCCAACATTTGTGTTCATCCATTGATCTTGTTGCACCGTTTTGAAAAATCCAATTTATTTCTTATCTGTGTCGCGGTGCTATTCAGATGAACACGGTTCACAGTTCAGTTTCCTCCACAGTCACAACACACATAGTATTGGTCGCCAGGAGGACAGGAGCACTCTATTGGACGTGTTCCCTCCACTGCCTCCTCCACTAACCATAGTACCAGTATTGCGTTTTTAATTCTCGTTTCATACAAGGTTGTGTGTGGAAGAACAGTGGTTCAGTCGGTTCTGTAATTTATACTACTACTACTACTACTACTACTACTACTACTACTACTACTACTACTACTACTACTACTACTACTACTACTAATGATAATTAACAATAATATTATATTTAAGTAAAAATACATACATTTGATACAGTGGACAATTCGTAGGCAAGAAATGCAAAATACATAAAGCCACTAATACACACTAATTTCGCACCTAATGAAGTTCTTTGAAATTCTATTCTCAACAGTTCTGTATTTACGCACGCACGATACAACGGCCAGTATTACGAGACTCAGGATTTCGAACTCTGTTGTTCGAATAGCAAACTTAAATTTGCTCTGCAATATTTTCAACAGTTGACAGATTTTGCTAGGATAGAAGAAAAATCAACTTAGGAATTATACCAGTGCTTTATATTTGTTAACTATTCCTTATACGCTAGTTCAGCTTGGAAACTTTTAAAAATTGAAAATATCAGGAATTGGAATCACGAAATAATTACATTAACATGTGTAATGCATCGTAAAGAAATGTAACTTAAGACAAAATGTAACTCCTGATCCACTATGGATCACCAGGACCCGTATTCACGAAACAGTTACGCAAGAGCTTACGAACGTGTACATCTTTCCTCAATCTTTGACGGCTTTGGTTACATTTATTAAACAGTTTACAAGCATGAAAACTCCCCAATCAACTGTTGTTATTGTTATAAACAGCCTCCTGGTGCTTCGGAGCTCATTAACTGCTTAATAATTGCCGAGAAAGCCGCCAAAGATTGAGAAAAGATGTACAGGTTCGTAAGTACTTGTGTAACTGCTTCGTGAATCTGGTCCCAGGAGTGTAAGCTTCCACTCCGGATCACCAGGAAAGGTAATATGTGTCCTTGAGAACCTAAGACATATACCTCTACCTCCTGTTTCTCCCCCAACACCTGCGTGGGGTTCTCCCCAACACCTGCGTGAGGTTCTCCCCCAACACCTGCGTGAGGTTCTGTGCCTCCGGGGAGAAGACCAAGACCTTGCCCCAACGTCCAGGACACATGGTCCTCATTATTACCTAATTTTAAATTGTAATAAACACTAATTACTTAATTACTCGCTTGCCCAGTAGATCCAAGAGCAACACACAAACATACAAACACATGTACATACACTGGCCTTCGCAATCCTGTTCTAATCCCTATAACTTTACATTTGGCTGGGTTAAATTCTAGCAGCCATTTTTCAGACCACTTCTGGAGTATTTCCAAATCTGTTTGAACATACTTAAGAATTGGTCTGAAAAATGGCTGCTCGAACCCAGTCAAATGCACAATTACAACGATTGGAACAGGAGTGCAAAAACGTGTACAGTTGTATAGGATGAAGTGAAGACACATTCTTCAATCACAAGATGAGAAAGACCTGGGAATAGACATAATCCCCAAACCTGATGCCAGAAGCTTATATTAGTAGAATAACTAGAGCTGCATAAGGCATAAGTCATCGTCCATGTATCCTTCAGAAACTTAAACAAAATGGTATTCTGGGCCCCATTCACGGCGAAGGTGAGACCTATTTGACAAATATTAGTTGAAATTTGCAATTTTGTGAATATATCCATGTTTTAAATTATTGTCTCATTCAGCGTGACGTTTACTGTCTGGTTTCTGACATTGTTCATAGCTTAGTTATTCCCATTACCACATATTTGTACGTATTCATCACAAAGACTCGCAAACTACACGAGTGATGCTGATGAATTGATTGCTACATATGAGAAAAAATATTTAATTTGTGTGGGACTAAATTGCATGACGCTTCACTCATCGAGGAACCGCTGAGAAGGTTTTCTGAACACTATGTTGCTGACACGCATAACATTGTTGACTTCTTTACAATGTCTGATGCAATTTCTGGGAATTCAGGCTTTCTGGTAAGTGGGAACCAAGACCCACCATCCTACATTATGGAGAGGGACAGGAAGGTCGCTGGTAGCCATCATCGATTCTTGAAATGTCTTTTGTCTGATCGAAACTTATTTCCGCTGTTAAAATCCTGAATGGCTCTTTGCGCCCCTCTGATTCACGATTCATCTTTCTTGAGTGTGTCTGTATGTGTACATTCACGTAGATGTATTAGCGGGGGATGAGCTACGACTCATAATTCCCACCTCTAAGCTCATAATAGACGGGTATATAGGGTCCAGAAAAGTTGATAGGTTCCGGATCCTATTGCGTTTATTCATATCTACACCTCAAATGGGGTTTGAAGTCTGCCTTTACTATTTCACTGTTCAGTGCATTACGGCTGTTAACTACTCTAAAACCGAACAAATTATTTATACCTTTGTGGTTTATTTGGGAAGTTAGTTTGCATCTGAGAAATTGGACATGCCAATCGTGGACCAATGGGGACTTCTGTTGTTTCATCTATTCATGTGTCCTCATGTTTCCTGTATTCTTATTGGCTTATGTTTTTTATGAGTGAGAAGGGACCTCTCCAAGCATGTGCCAGGAGCCCTGCGGCCGTTCTCCATAGTTCTTATGTCTTATGACTTCTCTCTGTCACAATGTTCATGTTCTGACGATGCTTAAGTTGTGTATTAACTATGCTAAAGAGGTTGTCCTTGTTGGCCCTATCTGTTTCACTGAGGTTGGCATGTGGTGATATTTCATATCTTGGATTTTATATCTTAGAGTGATGTGCGATTGAACCCTTTTAGTATTCTCTCGAATCTCGTACCTCTGAGCTCGGAGACTAATCTCGTGGCATGCTTGGGAATTTTCTCCTGCTGATTTTTGTGGTACAAAACGTCCTGAACGACTTTTGGTTCAGATTTCCAAAAAGCCGTTCATGAATTGTTCAAGTTACAACAACTGGACACCAGTCTCCGTGGTGTAGTGGTAAGACACTCGCCTTGCGTTCCGCGAGCGCTTTGTCATGGGTTCGTATCCTGGCCGGGGAGGATTTACTGGGCGCAAATCCTTAACTGTAGCCTCTGTTTAACTCAACAGTAAAATGTGTACTTGGTTGTAACAACGATTCTTCGCGGCGGGGATCGTATTCCAGGGACCTGCCCGAAACGCTACGCGTACTAGTGGCTGTACAAGAATGTAACAACTCTTGTATATATCTAAAAAAAAAAAAAAAACTAATGATACTTGTTTAATGTGGGTTTCTGGTAATACGTTCGGTGTTATAACAACCCCACAAGTTTCTTCTTTTATTATAGGATGGTTTCATCTCCCATATGGCACTTTTAGCAGAAAAAACAACTGTACTCGCATCAGTGGGCGTCCCACACACACTAACATATTGAGCCGGACAAAAATTTAAATAATAATTAAACCTGAAATAATAGGAATGAAAGAAAAGGAAGTTTTCTATTTAACGATGTAAAATATAATATGGTTAACAAGCTTTCCACCAGATGTCTCTAGTTGCATATACGATGGTTAAGCAGTGAAGGGGTCATGCCAAGCGTTCCCAAAAATATACACATATAAACTGACAAATGTGGGTTATATTGGACATACGGACACGCAATTGGATGGGCTCGTATTCCCGCGTGTGTTCGGTCAAAACTATTATGATTAAAATTATTTTCTGTTTTCTTCCACCATGCCACTGGAGGGATAGGAAGATAGATCAATATGTTACCCTTGATAGATAACTGCCTAAACGGGTTGATGCACTGGCTGGTTGTCTAGCAAGGTAAACATTCAATACTGAAACGGGGAACATTGATAGGTAAACATGCGTTATCTTCCCTCTGGTGAGACAATCACATAAACTGGCTGACCTTCCGATACATTACGAAGCTAAGTACGTCGGCCTTTCGACACGATACAGTTCATCGCAGGCAGCGTGTGAATGAATATACTTTATAGTATACACAATCGACTTGAGAATGGTCCAGGATGGACCGAAACGTCGTCGTCCCTTCACCTTCTAGTGTGTGGTCTGGTCAACATACTTCAGCCTCGTTATTGTGACTCATCGCCTGAATATACATTATAGTTATATCGAAGTGCCCCCCCCCCCAAGGTCGAATTAGTCAATTCCTTAGTAAGCAACTCCACAACAGTTGACTAACTCCCTGGACAGCCCGTCCTCCTAAGATTTCACAACGTCAAGAAAACGGTCAAATTTAAAGTGTCCTCCCTTAATCCACCAGAGGACCCAAATCAGAAAACGAGACAGTACGTCACTTTCACCAGCCGCTTCCATACGACAATTTTTGGCCTTATGTTACGCATACGATCGAAATGCAACGTTCTTTGTAAGAGAACAGATTGCCCTGGTACCTGTTTACTGCTAGGTGAATAGAGGAACCATTAGGTGATATGAAACGTGTGTAATCATTTGTATCGCCCTGGATTCGAACCCAAGATTCTCAGTTGTGACTCTAGAACGAACCAAACTGTGCTACTGAAACCCTAATATGTGCCACGAGCTATTTAGAATATGATATCCAAACCACACGTCAGAACATGTAGAAACGACGAGGTTTCGGTCCGTCCAGAACCATTAACAAGTCGTGTCCAGGTTGGACACAAACGTGGTCACTTCTTCATGTTCTGATGAGTGGTTTGGATATCATATCTTGTCACGCTAATGTGACTCATCGTCTGCAATTCAGAATATATTTAGATTCAAAGATTCATTCACATAGAAAATATTCATATAAACATTTAGAGGAAAATATTCCTCTTCTAAACGGGTAAATATTGAGAATAAACGCAACAATATATGTGTAATGGATCTATCGGCCCAATTTGTGGTTAGTTTCTCCCACATAATGTGTAACTTCTCCCTTCTTAAAATAAAAAAATGACACCAACGTCTCTGGGAAATCTTACCAGCTACCATGGCATTTTCGGCGCGGGAAAATGGCAGACATTAGAGCACACAAACATCCGCATTCTCAACTGTGTTGCCCCGCGCTCAGAATACAAAACTGTATTAACAGGAAAAACGAGGATTTCTAGGAACCTCAGGCTCTCTCCCTCTCCCTCTCTCTCTCTATCTCTCTCTCTCTCTCTATCTCTCTCTCTCTCTGTCTCTCTCTGTCTCTCTCTCTCTGTCTCTCTCTGTCTCTGTCTGTCTCTGTCTGTCTCTGTCTCTCTGTCTCTCTGTCTCTCTGTCTCTCTCTGTCTCTGTCTCTCTCTCTCTCTCTCTCTCTCTCTCTCTCTCTCTCTCTCTCTCTCTCTCTCTCTCTCTCTCTCTCTCTCTCTCTCTCTCTCTCTCTCTCTCTCTCAGTAACAAGGGTGTGGAGCTTCACGTCACCTGAAGGGATTGTAATGATTCATAAACTGTCTTTTGCGATCAATTTGGAATTCCAACCACATTCCAAGTATCGTCCCTCCACGGTGTTAGCCACGAATATACTTATAAATTAGTATTAGTTCCACATAGTATAGCAGCAATATTTTACAAAGATTTATGTTTGTATCCTTTCCGGTATTATGTTTACGTGGTACGGTAATCTCTTGTTTATAAATGCTTATATAGTACGTATTCCTCCAGTGGGTAGAAAACGACATTATGAATGAGAAATCATGGGAAGCCCAAGAAAACGAACCCTCATTACAGAAAATGGATACAGTTTTAGCTAAAACAGCGGTAACTAAAATAACTCGAGCGAGATGTCGACGACTATGTTTAAATCAAATAATAATGAAAATAACTATTTCAGTTAAACAAAAATAATAATATATAAAATGAAAGTTGCATACAAAATATAGCAGTGTATATATTGAGTGCATATTGTTGAACCATTTATTTCAGAAGGACACTAACCAGTTCTGTTAAAACTGGTTAGTTCTGTATCATAGCCCAACAATTTAAATTATATTCAAATTCATTTTTTTTTATTCAGAAGAATGTGTGTACAAAGGACATGAACATAATGTACAATTGTTGGGACAGGAGTTACACATACTAATGAAGCCACTATTAAGCAAAACGTATCGGGCAAAAGTTAAATGAATTGGAAAAAACATTTATTTAAGGTTGCGAAGAGGGTAAACACTTCATAAACACTGTTTATGAAGTGTTTTTACGCGCTTCATAAACAGTGTCTTTCACAAATCTTCACTGTAATTTAAACGTAATGAAAATCAATGAAGAAACGCTGTGCATATTAGTGATTTTAGGCACAGTATGTACTAGGTCTATCTAGAACTCCAACATTCTGTTTGTAACTCACTTTAAATGTATGTACTTTTACCTGTATAAACATTATTGTTATTATTATTATTTAGTAATATACATCAGATACAATAGCATCCCCCCATTATTATATTATATCCGTATCCCCCTCGTATTATATCCGTATCCCCCAATATATCATTATTACGTCTCCGTTTTCTTACGAAGTGCTGAGTCTGTCATGGTTTTCTTTAATACTTTTCCTATGGTAAACTTATTCTTTACTACCTCAGGGTATATTATAAACAAAAATACATATGTTTTGATATCTCGTTGTCGGAGACACACACTATAGCAACCTCTATGACTACTTTTCGCACACATACTCCACAACACATACTCCACATATCCGTATCTTTATCATTTATCAATTCTGATTGAAATTACCTACTTAAAATTATCTGCTAGATTAAGGACCTGCCCGAAACGCTGTGCGTACTAGTGGTTTTACAAGAATGTAAATACTGTACTATCCAATGTATTCTCACAAACCCAATGTACCTTCTTGTATATATATAAATAAATAAATAAATAAAACAACCAATACCACCATAACTACTGCATCAAGGAGCACACAATGCGGTCTTCCCTGTCACAAGTGTAGTTCTTAAAAAGATGAATTTAATATACATAATTAGTTTCAGAAATACATTTTCGTCACCTTATGAAGCTTTGTTTTGAATTGGCACACTGGAAATCAAATAATTAAGTTACTCCAATGTTCTACAATTCTGAAACCCGAAAACCTTGTCCCAGAGAGATAGGCAACTCTGTAATTTTTCTTTTTGAACTAAAATTCTTTGAAAATAGAGAATATTGTAATGTTGACGGACGTTGTCAGAGGCGTGAAATATAATGTTCAGAGGTTTGAAATTTAAGTGATTCGTTGAAAATGTTTTAGACAGAGTAGACTCAGTGTTGATGGCTATCTGGGTATATTTATTTGTTAAAAATAATAATGGGTGAAGAGTATAATCATTTACTGTAGAGAATATAATTATATTCATATATTTTCTCTTATAAGATAATGCTATCTCTGTATATTATTTTTTTTAGTTCTATTATTTAAATTATTTTTCTCTTTAATCATTTCATTGTTTTTCTCTCTTCATCATCTTCTTTCTGTCCCTGTCTTACTATTTCCTTAATGTTGTGTTTATGTATCATGGCCTACGGCGCTCATATCCGTATTGTTCCTGGCCCCAGGAAGGTCCTGATGTCTGCTACGAGCTACATTAATCTGCGTCAGTGCTGAGCATCTGAAGAGTTCCTGATGTCTGCTACGAGCTACATTAATCTGCGTCAGTGCTGAGCATCTGAAGAGGTCCTGATGTCTGCTACGAGCTACATTAAGCTGGGTCAGTGCTGAGCACCTGAAGAGTTCCTGATGTCTGCTGCGAGCTACATTAAGCTGGGTCAGTGTTGAGCATCTGCGAGGGGCATGAAGCACTCAAGTAAAGGCTGTTGGCTACGGCGCTTCTGTGGCTCCTGACGCCGGGGGATGAAGGGGACGACTGCTAGGTGCTGGCGACGCCCGTCCTGCTTCCTAGGGGTGGCGCCCTTCTATGTCAAGGCTCCTAAATTCATCGGCGGTGAGTAGATGCTTTTATTACCTCAACGTCGCTCGATTCCTTTGAAATTGTTGCTTGAATGCTGATGCATCCAACGACTGAAACGCGGCTATTCTCTTGTAATTTGTGTAGACAATGGCTTCTCTTCCATGCAAGTCAAACAATCTTAAACAGCTGTTCGCAGGTATGTATAGGTATTGATAAAGAGAGTCTGCGTATCCACACCTTCTTATGATCTAGATTCTAGGTTCACGCAACATCTCGGTGCCCACTCTAGGTGCAGTATTGTAATCCAGAACTGACTACTTTCGAACTTTCCTCGAAAGTACTAGGGGAAACGGTATTTCGTTCGTTTCCTGTGTTCGAAGTGAATCTCTCTAATCAGTGGTACCCGATGTTTCTTTTGGTTCGTGGCCCAATTTTCTAATACACAAAAGACCTGCGACCCTTTGCCACACTTTTATTACTGAAAAAATTGCCTAATTAAGATTCTCAGCACTTCTGAGCGAATTCCGTTCCTATTCCGAGCGAATTCTTGATGATTCGGATATATTAGTTATGTTAATTTTGATTCCGTAACAAAACGGTTGGGAACTACTGTCCTGACTGCCACATACTGTAAATATCAGTAATTGTCATATGACCAAAACACTTAAGCAAACCGTCACTAAGTCTAACCCACACAAAATTATAATATAGAGCATTATTTAAAATTTTATGAGAAACAATGTTTGATTAGTACTGAACAATTGGCAAATGAACATTTGAGGACTGTCTAAGCTTATATGATCGTACCTTGAGTCCACAGACCTCGTATATATCTAAATGTATTTTTTTCTTTCTTCTATATTATTAACCCCCTTTTTTTCTCAATGTTGAGACATGACTTTACTGCATAAAATAGCTTCTTTCCTAGGTCTAAAATATCAATTTTCCACTCCTATCCATCTTTCAGAGGCTGATTAATATCTCGTAATATCTACTGAATGGTTTGGAACGGTTAATTTAATACGGCTTAAGTCAACCAGTTAAAATTAACGACTAAACTGAAGTTAGTTTGGTCAGTGTTGATTCAGTTAGTCAAATTTAACTGAATCTAACCAACGACAACTGTATCCACCATAACAGCGTACTCTAAATTAAACGAATTATCCTTAAACTATAATTATATACAATATAATTTAGATAATTCGCTGCCTTCATCCAGTGGTAAGTGTCATAGGCTTAGTCATTTAGTTTCTGTGTAAATACCGTAGAAACATCGTATAATTATAATATTGCGTGTTGTTCATACCTACAAGCTATTGTGGCAGCTTCATCAAATGACACTAATGGGGATAAAATATAATTAAAATGCTTCAAGAAATGTCTTATCAAAATGAAGAAACAAATGTGAGAAAAGGTACTTACATTTTTTTTTTTAAGTTTGGAAGAGAAGTTGGTTTTTTTTCTGTCGACATTTGTAATATAAAAATTTACGTTTTATGAAAAAATTCACACTAAGAATTTCTAACAAAGAATAAGTTGCAAGCTCAATAACGTAAGTTGTGAGCGCGGTCTCAGACACAAAGATCGTCTAACATAGCAGACATTCCTGAAGGCTCGTGACTACTGGCCATAAATTGCCTTACTGGGTACCTTCGTCAGCAGATAATACCTCCAGAGAGTAAACATTACTTGACGCCTGTCTTGTACTTCGCTGGCCAGGGCGGTCCGACCCCCATTGTACAAATGAAAAATGGTTTGCTTCACATATTAGTAAGTAAAATGTCACATCGTGCATAAAACGTTTCGAAATAAATGTTTTGTTGAATGAAAACAAACCTAACTAATCCCAACCAATCCAAGAATTATCTAAGTCTAACTTGACGTTATAAGGAGTACTAAACATTTTTAAAATAGTTTACATGAGCGTATCTTGTTCCTAATATCAGCATGTCTTACTGACGTTGGTCTTCGTCTTGCCCTGTAACCCCTTTTATGAAGACTTCTTCACAGTTCATTTCCTCAATCTCAAAGACATTCAATACTATACAGGATGAACAACCCAGCGGGTTTTCTTCCTATTGGGGGGGTGTTGTACATGCTGCTATGGCGGTGTGTCCACTCATGGGATGAGTGGCGCTGCCCAATAAACTCGCCCCTCGGGGCAAAATTTTAAAATTCAACACGATTGTTTATCCACAAGGTAATTCTTCTAGTAATGAACACGTTGTGAGATAAGGTATAATACAGATATGATGACCTGGTTTGAGGTGAGAAAGGTCACAGCATTCGTCTGGTGGTGTATTGCATAATCACACTCCCTAACTATTCATTATATGATTGATTACGTAACTATATTCTCTAACTAACGATAATTCCAGTTATTAATTAGTTAGGTAGGATTGTTGCCGTGTTTAAAAAATCATGATATTTCGTACGAACATATTGCTGTTGAGTTTTGCATTGTGGCGCAGAGCTAGTTACGTGGCATGCCAATACGCCCCGAAAAAAATATTTTGTTGGATAATGATTCCCAGACAGCCTAATCTATCATAACACATCCTTGGATAATGAAACGGTAGCCATATATGCTACTTCGGTTCCGGTATGCACCCTGCTACATGTTAGCCGTTAGTAAATACCGCCCTGTTGACTCAAACTTTGAGGCTCGGAGTTAACCTTTGTCTGGTGCCTCCCATTACCAGAAAATGGAGATCAATGTGTAATGGTGTTGAGTAATGGGGATCAGGGTGATTATGTTCTCTAATCATATGCATTTATATATATTATTTTACCGCATTGTGCTCTCCAGGAAGATAGTAGCAGAACGTGAATGGTTAATTTTTTACATTATATACAACTTTATGTATCTAAAGAATGCATATTCCTTGTTAGAGTGAATACCAATCAATTTTAGCTGTTTTCTTTTGGGAGTCGATCGGTATGAAAGGAATACAGGTAGATTCGATCATGAATTCCTTTGGATTATCTAATCTAACTTAACCTAATTTATACCAATCAAAATGGATGAGTGTGTGGGGAATGGAGGGGATGTGGGGAGTGGGGGACGGGGAATGTGTGGGGGAGGGGAGAGGTGGGAGATGGATGGAGGTTGGGGAGTGGGGTTGAGAGGGTAGGGGGGGGGGGCACTGGCGGGGGTTTAAGTCGCTCGGAGCTTGAGCAAATAACTGACCCGTGTGTGTTGTCATGGCGTGCAGGTCAGGTGTTGTCTTGGACAGGTCAAGTACTGTCTTGGGCAGGTTAGGTACTGTCTTGGACAGGTCAAGTACTGTCTTGGGCAGGTTAGGTACTGTCTTGGACAGGTCAGGTACTGTCTTGGGCAGGTCAGGTACTGTCTTGGGCAGGTCAGGTACTGTCTTGGACAGGTCAAGTACTGTCTTGGGCAGGTTAGGTACTGTCTTGGGCAGGTCAGGTACTGTCTTGGGCAGGTCAGGTACTGTCTTGGACAGGTCAGGTACTGTCTTGGACAGGTCAGGTACTGTCTTGGGCAGGTCAGGTACTGTCTTGGACAGGTCAAGTACTGTCTTGGGCAGGTTAGGTACTGTCTTGGGCAGGTCAGGTACTGTCTTGGGCAGGTCAGGTACTGTCTTGGACAGGTCAGGTACTGTCTTGGACAGGTCAAGTACTGTCTTGGGCAGGTCAGGTACTGTCTTGGACAGGTCAAGTACTGTCTTGGGCAGGTTAGGTACTGTCTTGGGCAGGTCAGGTACTGTCTTGGGCAGGTCAGGTACTGTCTTGGACAGGTCAGGTACTGTCTTGGACAGGTCAGGTACTGTCTTGGGCAGGTCAGGTACTGTCTTGGACAGGTCAAGTACTGTCTTGGGCAGGTTAGGTACTGTCTTGGGCAGGTCAGGTACTGTCTTGGGCAGGTCAGGTACTGTCTTGGACAGGTCAGGTACTGTCTTGGACAGGTCAAGTACTGTCTTGGGCAGGTCAGGTACTGTCTTGGACAGGACAAATAGTGTCTGGAGCCGTTCTGGTGTTCCTTCAACAAGTCTGATGATACCTTTAGCAGGTCGTCTATTGGTTTCAACAAGTCAGCTTTGCTTTGATATATAAATGGAATTATCCGCTTAGTTCCTCGTATTCAAAGAATGTGAATAAGAAAAATAAAACATTAAAAGTAACATAAATGTAAGAGAATAATGAATATCATGGAGATGCATCAACCGAGTCGATCAGCTTGGTTTTAAAGCTTTGATTATAAGACTCATAAGACTCGGAGTAACAGAGGAAGTCTAACCCAGAGTACTGACTAAATTATGCTACTCTCACCCGGACGTGGGGTCTCAAGCTTATTACACAAGGCTTTCTGATGAAGAATAAGTTATAAATAATCCTTCTTGCATAGTATCATGTCATTTGTATTGTATAATTATTATTCATCTTAATTTTCACTTAGGTTACACTAAGTTGTACTTCAAGTCTCTTTTTAAGTAAAACGAATTAGAATGGCGTGTGGGGATTAAGAGAACCCTCCCAGCGGGAAGGTGGTGTTAGTTGTCAAGGTGGGGGGGGGGGGGTGTTCTTAGAGCAGGCGGGGGACGGGGGATTAACTTTTTTTATCGTTATTTGATGATAATTAAATTACTATTACGAAGAATAATTATTAAATTGGTAAGGTCGTGCTGTGTCGTCTGAAGCCTCGGGTGTTCACTTAATTTGGTTAACTTTTACAGCTGCGCGCGTAGAAGTCACTCACACACACACACACACACACACACACACACACACACACACACACACACACACACACACACACACACACACACACACATATACCAGGGGGCCTGGTAGCCTAGTGGATAGCGCACAGGACTTGTAATTCTGTGGCGCGGGTTCGATTCCCGCACCAGGCAGAAACAAATGGGCAAAGTTTCTTTCACCTTGAATGCCCTTGTTACCTAGCAGTAAATAGGTACCTGGGAGTTAGTCAGCTGTCGCGGGCTGCTTCCTGGGTGTGTGTGTGTGTGTGTGTGTGTGTGTGGTGTGTGGTAAAAAAAAAGTAGTTAGTA